ACACACACACACACACACACACACACACACACACACACACACACACACACTTTCCCTTCCCTCTCAGGACCCTCCATTTACCAGATGGCTGGGAGAGTTAAGGATGCATCCAATGTACTCATGGAAAAGCAGAATACCAAAAGCTTAGGGCTCCTAGTAAGTTTTCATCACCTCAGTATTTATGAATGCTCTAATCTAGAAAATACAGCAAGTCCATAAATAATGAGATTACAGAATCTTACCATCAGAATCAGTCTTAGAGATGCTAAGGTCCAGGAATGTTGTGATTTGCCCTGTATCACATAGCAAGCTAGTAATTAGTGGCAGCTGGCCTTGTTGCCAATTATTTACTCCAACATAGGAAGTGAGATTTTAAAAATAGTAAAATGGGACCTTGTGCATTTCTTTCTTGCCATGAAAGGACACAGCTGTTTGTTTACAGTGAGTTCATTGTTGAGTAATGTGTGGTTAATGAAATTATTTTCATTCATGACTTGATTACCTATTTCCTTTATAACTATGGATTTTATAGCATCCACAGCTTTTTTATTAAATATATGAAATTTGTTTTACAGCTCTATGAGAAAGTTGCACTTCTTCTGACAAATTTAGGTAAGTGAGACCCTTTTTATTTCATAGCACAATATTGCAGTTTGGGAAGTATCTTTTCAAAGACTGATTTCCGAAACACTGCTGAAGAGAAATATTCTTTTTGTTTTGAATTGCATACAATAATTCGCTCTTTGCCTTCAACAGGGCATTTTAAATATGTCTAGTAATTGGGGAGTCATTTCTTTTTTTTAAACATCTTTATTTTTTTCTGTGTTCCAAGGTTCATTGTTTATGCTCCATGCCCAGTGCTCCATGCAATATGTGGCCTTCCTTAATACCTACCACCAGGATCGCCCCATCCCCCCACCCTCCTCCCCTCCAAAACCCTTAGTTTGTCTCTCATAGTCCACAGTCTCTCATGCTTCGTCTCCCTGACCAATTTACCCCACTTTACTTCTCCTTTCCTTCTCCTAATATCCTCCATGTTATTCCTTATGCTCCACAAGTAAGTGAAGGGGAGTCATTTCTACTTAAAGCTTTAAAACCTGTCATAAACATTATCTATCATGGGCTAATGTAATTTGAAACAGGTTTTCTCTTAATGCACAAAAAAATATAGCATCATAAAAGTAGTAAAGTGCCCAGAATCATTGAAAAAAGTGTTCATTTGCTTTGCTTACAATTTTTATTTAATTAAAATATGTCAAGCTTTTGTGGTGTATCTAAACCACAGCAAGGTGAGTTGCTTTGAAGACTGGGGGCCTTCCACCACAAATATAGGTGGCCTAATCATTACTTATATTTATAGAAATAACAATCATCTGGATAAGTCACCCCTAAAGGTGACATTTCTCTGAACCCATAAAACAGACCAATCTGGTAACTAACTATACACTGTACATTTTCCATGTTTTCAAGATAAAGAAATTGTCCCAATTTTATTAATGAAACACTGGTCATTTTACTCTATGCCATTTGAGAAAATTACATACTCCCACATATAAACCTATTTTAGCACATTCCCATATGTAGCTTGTCAGGGGGGGATCAAAAAAGTGCTTTTATTTATAATCATTATAATACAAGATGACATTTATTGAGCCTTCCTATGTGCCAGATACAGAGCTAGATACCTGGTATATCTCCTTTAACATCATTAAAATCCTCCATCATTACCACCCTTTGCCCAGAAACATAGAAAGAAGTTTATATCCACTAAAGAGGTAAGTTGGCACATTGGCAGATTGTGTCCAGTGGCCCCTTGATCCAGGCTGGCAAAGACACCAGGGAGATACAGCCCTGGCCCTTCTGTGGTTGGGACACCTGGGCACCCATCCAGCTGGCTAACAACCTGGGAGACCTTCCTATGTAACCAATAGTTCAGGAGCAGAAGTGAAGTAAAGATAAAAACCCTTTTAAAATCCTTTGTCTTCTCTTTCCTCAACAGCAGTACAGCCTTGTTAAATATTATTTTCCTCCCCCTTCTCAGATATGCTCTCAGCAAGCATTTTGAGGAATTAGTGGAAAAGGAATTGATGGGGTGAAATGGCAAAGAGCAATTAGAAGCAGGGAATATGGAAACATAGAAAGTACAATGGAATTAAACATATTCTCGTTGACATTACTTGGGATGAGGATGCAGCTCCTAGGGAAGGATAGGTGCATTTGACATGAGATGTCAAGTTGGAAGTCTGATTCATATTTTGATTCATATCATAGTGTCCAAAGAGCACTTGCTTTATGGAAGTCAAATATAAGGAGATGAGAATTGGCACCTGACTGAGGTCAGAATACTGTAAGATGTAAATGGTGATATACAGTAAAAGCTCTTAAATGAGATCATCTCCTTGGTATTTGTCCATGAGAAAGAAAAATGATGCATGAGAGTGACAGGCAAAGAAGTCAGATACTCACAGCATTCTGAGAGGGGAGGGGGTCTGACTCCCTCTCGTGCAGCAGCACCTGGCATTTCACCACAATAGAATTGAAGAACAAGGAATTAATTAGGAGATGGGAGGGGACCTGACTCTACACCCTACCCCACAGACAGAAACTAAGAGCAAAAGGGAATGAGGCTCCTTCATCCCTAGCTTTCTCTACTCTAGGCTCTCTGCATCCTGTCACAGCAGAACAAACTGGATATTCCATCCCCTCAGATAGGTCAGTAGCTCCTTCCCACCACACCCTGGTTGGGGCTGGTCTGCAAGCTTGAGGATGTCATGGGTGGTCTATTCCATCACCCACCATCTATAGGAAAACTGGGGTCTCCTGAAGCCTTCTCAGGACACCTCTGCTCCTATCCTGTGTGTATAGGGAGTAGGGCAGAGGGAGTTAAGAAGGGGTCAAAGGCAGCCTCTCAAACTCTACTCCCTTTTTGTCCACAGAACAGCCTCGCACAGAGTCCGAGTGGGAGAACAGCTTCACCCTGAAAATGTTTCTTTTTCAGTTTGTCAATCTGAACAGTTCCACATTTTACATCGCGTTCTTCCTTGGAAGGTAAGGACCTGATCTTTCCACACTTCTGCAGGCCAGGGATAGAGCACTCAGAGGTCACTGACCAGGGTGACAGAGAAGCACCTCCTTTAGAGTAATTTATACAAAGAGTAGAAAGAGATTAGACTCCTCCTTTCCTTTCCTGTTCCCTTCCTAGGGAATGGTCACTACACTCAAAAGTTACCTATGTGCCTTTTCTTGCTAAGGTACATAGAGGAAAAACATTGGCACAAGTGAAGGATGGATTTAAAACTTGTGGGCTCCATCCGCACCTGAGTCAGGCCTCCAGATCTCACACCTTTATGAGCAGTTGACCTAAGAGGTGGTGGAGAGGGTGGAGAGGGTGGTCTGCAGCGTGTCCTGGATGCCCACCTTCATAGAAGAGGGAAGGACATCCAAACAGGAGAGGGGGTGACATAGGATGCCAGAGGAGAGTGGACAACTTCTGAATCCAGCAGTTACGAGGATTTGCAAAGGCTCCTGTCTTAAGTAGTCATGTCCTATGAACTCTTTTGTGCCAGGAAGTAGTCTCTGAAGAGAGAAAAACCAGAGACAGGTGAGTGTTAGATTTGGGTGGTATGGGTGTAGCACTTCTCAGTATCGAGCTACTTCAGTGTGGAATTCTAGTCAAACAGTAAAGCTCGTTATTTTTTTCAATTTAAGCTTCTATTCAAAAAGATCAGAACCTGTTTCAATCCAACATGCTGCTTGTTATATAGGCCAGAGTGATTGATATTTAGCAGAAAATGTTCAAAGTCACACAGAGCAGCAAGAGCTGGCCTCTGTGGTCAGCAGCCAGACAGTCCAGAAGGGAAATATTCCCTGGAAAATTCTAGAAGTTGCAGTCATGGCAGTTCTGGAGAGTTTCCTAATTCTCTCAGACCTGAGCGTAGCAGTAATTTTCACTGGAGATGGGCTAATCTGAACACAATAATCACATTAGACCTATAGGGTGCTAATGGTTTGTTTTTCTGTGTGTTGAAGATTTACAGGACACCCAGGTGCCTACTTGAGACTGATAAACAGATGGAGACTAGAAGAGGTCTGTATTCTTCCATCACTCCTTATTTCCTACAGTCTTATATTAAATAGCCTAGGACAACTTTGTGCAGATTAGAAACCAAACACTCTTTCTTCCCTGCCATTGATTCTGGAATTTCTGTGTTTGCTTACCTCGCAGTGCCATCCTAGTGGATGCCTTATTGATCTCTGTATGCAAATGGGTATTATAATGGTGCTAAAGCAGACATGGAATAATTTCATGGAACTTGGCTACCCGTAAGTACCTTAGATTTCTACAGTTGAGTGGGAGCATTGCTCATTATTGGCTTTTCTAGGTGTAGCAAGTAAGATAAGCAGTGCAGACTCAGCCGTGCTTATACTTGGAGCTAAGTGTTCATGCTCAGTTATTCAACAGCAGTCATGAAAGTACTAAACATTGGCTCTTAGGAGATTTAGTACAAGAAGTGTCAATGATAGTGAATATTCTTTAAAAAGTCTCTGTGGGGCCCTAAACATTGAACACTTGCTTGCAGCTCCTTTAAATAATGCTTCTGACCCTCATGCCGTAGCATTTCAAGGTTCTCACCAGTTACGACCCATTAACTAGAGCTCTACTCCCCCCCCCATGGTAAATCAGGAATGGTAATTTTTTCAAACTACCTTAAATTCAAACTGTATAGAAAAGGAACTTATAGAAAAGAGAAAAGTTTAGGGATGCAGAAAAGAAACTGGAATATTTCTAAGTCAATATATCTTGACAAGTAAAAATAGGATCACCTGGTGGTAATAGTAGATGTTGATGACAATAGACAAAAACTTGCATCCCTTTCGTAAGGATATCCTTGAATTCTGCTATGTTTGCTCAGCTCTGGTCAGTTAAGTTTTAAAGGAACATAAATTAACAACTTCTATTTCTGCTTTAATTCCATACCTACTGATTTCCATGTCAGCTTGGTGTCTCCATAGAGAACTCCAGGTTTCAAGGAGGACCACTCAGTCAGAACAATTAGCTAGAACTTGGATCACTTCAAAAAAGTCACTTCTTGGCTTTTAGTCAGAACCTATGCCAGTAATTTTCTATTCTTAGATTTTTAGAAAACTTATTCCAAGTGCTTGATGTTGTCTGTAAAACTTTTTTAAGTGCATAAAATTTAAAAATTAGCAGCATTATATGCTACTTTAAAGTATAAAACATAATTTATCAAAATGTCAGACATCAACGGAACTATATTTTATCTTCTAGTAGTATGGACAGAGAGCAAAACTGCAAAGTAGGTCGTTTGTTTTTGATACCCATCCCATTATTTCCTTTATTTTGCCATTTGTTTTGGGGTTTTTCTGGCTTGTGTACTCTTGGATACCCCTCCATTTTTCCTTGTCCCCTATAGTACACAGACCTGGCCCTTGCCCCCACTTTCTTTTTTTTCTTTTTTTTTTTTTAAGATTTTTTTTTTTATTTGACAGAGAGAGAGATATCACAAGTAGGCAGAGATGCAGGCAAAGAGAGGAGGAAGCAGGCTCACTGCCAAGCAGAGAGCCCGATGTGGGGCTCGATCCCAGGCCCCTGAGATCATGACCTGAGCTGAAGGC